ATATTTTAATAATTATTTCAATTATTAAATAATTATTATTTAACTATTCATTAATAATTTTTTAACTGATTTAATATTTTTACTAATATTTAAAATATATTTTAACTGACCACTGCCATCTACTCATGTCGTGGTCATAGACGCGGGGGACGAAGTAGGTTCTCTTCACCCTCCAATTGACCTTCAACCTCCTCACTCATCTGTCAGATTTGCAACAAAAAAGATCACTCGACCACCACATGCTGGCACAGACTCAACATCAACTACACTCCCACCTGACCTTAAGTGCAACCCAAAGCCATGGTTACCACAGCTGACTCCCAAACCTTGGTTGACATCTTGATTCAGGTGCATCTTCACACCTCACTCATTCACTCAACAACCTCTCTCACCCAACTCCCTACCAAGGCTTCGACGATATCACCATTGGCGATGGCACATCCCTTCCCATTGCTCACAAAGGCACTGACATTCTTCCCACGCCCTCACGTAAGTTACTTCTTCCTCAACTTCTACATATTCCCAACCTCTCTCACAATCTTCTTTCCATCTCCCATCTAACTCAAGATAACAACATTTCCATCAAATTTGACACCAATGGTTTCATCATCAAGGACTTGAGGACAAACCAAGTTCTTCTAAAGGGTCCATGTCTTAATGGACTATACCCCACTCCACCCGTCCACTCGTCAACTCATCCCTCAGCCCTCTCTGCCACCCTCAGCCCAATATCTCTTTCGCACAACCAGTTAGGACATCCTTATCACCAAGCTCTTGCAACCATCTCCAACTACAACAAGGAGCTTCATATACCTACGTCTTTATTTATGTTCATCTTGTAAGGCCTCCAAAGGCCATAAACTAGCTTTTAAAAAGTCCCTTAATCGCACTTCTACCCTGCTTGCAATTATTCACTTAGATGTATGGGATACTTCCCCTATTGCTTCTAATCAATGCTACAAATACTACGTTGCTTTCATTTATGATTTTTCACATTTTGTATGAGTGTTTCCAAAGCTATACAAATCTGAAGAATTGTCAATCTTTATCAAGTTCAAAACACTCATTGAGGACCAATTGCCTCATAAAATCAAATGTCTTTGATTTGATGGTGGAAATGAATACATTAACTAGGAACTTACATCTTTCCTTCACCACAATGACATACTACACCAAGTATCAAGTCCCTACACCCCAGAGCAAAACGCTTGGCGGAGCAAAAACATCACCACCTCATTGAAACCACACGAACACTTCTCCATACAACCTCTCTGTCATACACTATGGCCTAATGCAGTTCTCACAGCTTCTTACCTCATTAACTGTCTTCCCTCCAAATCTACCAACAACAAATCTCCATTACAACTACTGTACAAACAACAACAAAACTACTAATTTCTTCGTACCTTTCGCTATGCCTATTTTCCTTGGCTCCCTTCAGCTCACTGCCACAAATTAGCCCTAAGATCCATCCCATGTGCCTTCATAGACTACTCTGACACTTATAAGTGTTACAAATACTTAGGCCCCACCACCAATCGCATTCTCTTATCTCATTATGTCATATTTGATGAGACCACTTTTTCCCTTTCAAAACATACCATCCCACGATCAAGCAACTACCCAACCTCCCTCCAATCCTCTCCTCCTCACTCCCCACCAGTACCCCAAGCTCCATGTCAAATTCAAATATCTTCCCCATCTCCACATACTCCATCTTTAACTCCTCAAAACAGTCCATCTATACCTCCTAACTCACCACATGTGTCCATTGAATCAAACCCTCACCCTCCATCACTTACTATCCCCTCTTCGCTTCCCATGATAACCATACTAAAAACCGACTCTCTCAAACCACGCAATGTTCTCAACCTCCTCAATCAACACAACATCCTCAATTCATCCATCCCGGCCGACCCAACCAACTACTCTAAAGCAGCCAAATCCCTTCACTGACGCAATGTCATGTCAGCGGCATTTCTTGCCCTTCAACAACAAGGCACATGGACTCTTGTCCCACCGCCAAGCAATGCACCCATTCTCAGGTGTAGATGAATCTATCGCACAAAATTCCACTCAAATGGCTCCATTGCTCGCTACAAAGCCCACTTAGTAGCTTAAGGGCATCGCCAAGAATATGACCTCAACTACCTTGACGCATTCAGCCCTGTAGCCAATTTTCCCACTATTCGTGCTCTACTTACCATAGCTCTTCACAAGCATTGGCCCATTCACAAGCTAGATGTGGCAAATGCCTTCCTACATGGCAATCTCATTGAAACCATCTACATGATCAACCACATGGCTTTAAAGACGCCATCTACCCCAACACGTCTTTCTGCTTCACAAAGCCATATATGGCCTCAAACAAGCCCCCCACCAATGGTTCAACACATTCTCTACCTTTCTCAAATCACTCGGCTTTACTCACAGCACAACACACTCATCTCTTCTCGCTCTTTCCAAAGATCATATTCACATCTACCTACTAGTATACGTGGATGACATCCTCCTAACATGCAATGATATGGATATGTTATCTAAGATTATAGCACAACTAAATCGCCAATTCGCCATGAAGCATCATGGGACAACAAACAACTTTCTGGGCATTCAAATCCAACACCATCAAAACTCATATTTCCTAACTCAACATCTATACACCACCTCCATCCTAACAAACGTCGGTCTCCTCCTCTGCAAACCACTTTCCAATTTCACATGTACCAAACTACCTAAAGTCATCCCTACCAATCCCATCCTTTTTTATCCTAAAAAATATCGCCAGCTCATAGGCTCTCTACATTACTTAACTATAACTTGACCGGACATTGCATAAATCGTTAACCTTCTTTGTTAGCATATGCATGATCCCCTGCCTTAGCACATCTACGTTCTCAAGCGATTGCTCAAATACATCAAAGGCACCCTTAACTACGATCTTCCTATTACCAAAGGACAGTTAATCCTCACCTCCTTCTCACATGCAGACTGGGTCAGCGACACAACTACTCGATGTTCTACATCGAGCTACTGCACCTTCCTAGGCAATACACTGCTCTCATGGAGTATCAAGAAACATCATGCAGTTGCTCAGTCCTCCACAAAAGTCGAATACAAAGCACTAGCTGCAACTATCACTGACATCATTTGGCTTCGCAAGCTACTGCAAGATTTTCATATACGTCTTCAACAGCCATTAGATCTTCACTGTGACAATACTTCAGCCATCGCACTAGCTAACAATTATGTCTTCCACATTAGTACAAAGCACATAGAAATCGATCACTATTTCATTCATGATCACATTCACTCCAGCACAATTCGGATAGTTCTGATCAGCACCAAGGATCAAACACCTGACATTCTTACCAAATCTTTCTCTACCCCATATTTCAGCTACTTAGACAAAATCTAACCGTCCAACCGGGACCGTCACATTGCGGGGGCATAAAAGCCAATACCAGCATCTGACAAAGTACAGTCAATACTACCACCAGAATAAATCTCAACCATTAATCTCTAACAAACATAATACATCCTATACATAGACGTGTAAAGCTATAGGCTCACTTCATTCATATATACATCATGTACTCCTGATGGAAATAGTAACATACCGTATTACCTTACAATAAAAGCCCTCAGACACTTACTTTTTAGTAATATGCAAGTTATATATATATACTCAGGGCAACTTTATTGCAAAGATAAAAATGTTCACCAGGCCCTAAAGTTATATGAAGTATGTTAAACTTTGGTGTGAAGCTTAACTTATTTCTTCTGCAGCAGACTAATTTACTTTACTTTTGTATCTAACCAAACAGCTCAGAAACAAAAACCCCTGCATTTAGTTTAATTTACAACCAAACAGCCCCTAAATCAAATTTGTGTTTGATTATTTTGAAAATGAAATCCTTCTAATTACCTCAAATTAAACGCCAAAATACTCAAAATCCATACAATTCTTTTATTCTAAGCAGCCAACATATCAAGAACAAAGCCCATTACCACTGCAACAATTCATCAGATTTTTACAAATATAAGGGATATATAGGAAAACCAGCATATTAATATTATAATAAATTATTATCCAGGGGAAGAAAAAAAAAACAGCTAAAAAAAGATTTTGATTTCAATATTATGGCAAATATCAAACATGGTCATTTTCCTCAAAGCATGGATCATTATCAACATTTAATGTCATTGAGATCAACAATTCCCAATTTTCCTTTCTAGCTTTATAGCTTCATAAGATACCATCACTTCTTTAAATTTAGCCTCTGCAGCCTCTAAAACATAAATTAATTTCTTTCAATAGCTTGGTTGCACCAAATTTCAGTTTATTTTGTAACAAGCAATAAATAAATACAAGTCAATTACCTTTATTATCTGGATTCTGATCTGGGTGATACTTCATTGCTTTTGCCCTGAAAGCTGTCTATAATAATCCAAAATGGGAGAAACCATTGTCAGATGTTCGTTACCACAGATGAAGAAAAATATATGCTCAGGCACTCAGCAGTAGAAACAGAGAGAGGTTGGAGATAGCTCTAGAACCCCTTAAAAATTTTTATAATATTCATTTCTATATTTCTACTAAACTATTATGTGCAAGCAAATAGATATTTCTTCATATTGAGTATATAATGATGATATTAACAAGTCTAATAAATTTTTTTAGGCTCACACATTTAATAAATTCAAGATATTTTTAATTAACTCAATTCATAAAATTATTTGAAAAAATATAATGATTACGCAAGTACATAAATGTCAACTTTTATATATCATATGTATCTTTAATGCATACTAAACAGACTAATTGATAATAGGTGAATATAAATGTTAAGTAATTTAAATGTCGATAATGATGATATTAAATTGAAAGAAGTCAATGAAAGTTTGTCATATAAGACAGGATGACAGATTGTCATAGGGAGAGAGAAATTTTTTTTGACAAGATGAGTCTCAATAGGGAAAAAGAAAATTACCCATTTTCAATATTAAGAAGTTGATACTATAAGGAGCAATCTTAAGAATGAGAGGTCTCATTTAATATGACCAGTATGGATTATCTAAAAGCGGTTCTCAAATGATTTTTTTTATGTTGATAGGAAAGAAATGGGACCAATTGATAATGTGCAAAAAACCTACAATGTATTATATGACAATTTTAAAGAAATTCAATAATAATAATAATAATAATAATAATAATAATAATAATTATTGATACGTCATGCCAAAAATTATCTTTGATCGGGCACGAAAAATCTCGAGGCAAATTAAGTTTTGGAAACTTCAAATATTAAATCCGGAGCACATGATACTCCAGCATTTCAGAAATTACAGTTCAAAACTGAGCGTCTCGGATATGACGAACCCAACGAACACTAATTTGGGACTCAATCCGCGAGCCCAAATGAGTCCAAATCAAAGGACCCAAGGCCACGTTAGAAGGTTCGAACCACAGAGTGTTGATGTTACAAAACAGGGTCTACGAGTATTATTGGCGAGCTTATTGTCGGAGAACTCGAATCGCGCTCGACGAGACGAAATCCAACAAGCCTCTAAGTACGCCGGTGAATTCCGACATCACTAAGGCCTTCAAATGGCATGCACGAACGGTGTATGAAATTCAAAGGATCAATATCAGCCGTCCATTCAACCACTCCCTATTCGCCCCTGATCTCACACCTATTTACAAGCCATGCCACTCCAGAAAAACTATAAATAGAGCCCTCATCCTACACAAGAGGAGGGAGGTGAAGAGAGAGAAGAATAAGGGAAGAAGAAGAGAAAGGGGAAAAGGAGAATCCTCTCCTCCTCGACCACCGCCGGATTTCTTCCCACCGCCTGAATACGCCGAAACTCTGCCGGATATTCGGGAGAACGCCAAAATTCTGCCTAACTTCCATGGATGCGGAAATTCTTAGAGTTCCCTCCTGACGCCGAAACTCTGCCCAAGTGAAGCCGGATTTCTTCTCTGCCACCAACAGACGTCAGACTTCTACCCAACGTCGGACCTTCACTCTTCGCCAAGTTTCTACCTGATGCCGGACTTTTACCGGTTATCAGACTTCGTTGGACGTCTATGCGAAGATGGATTTCTTTCCATTGTTGGACTTCTACCTGACGCTGTCCTTCTGATCTTCGTCGTCAGACTACAATCTTCCGACCTCCGTCGCCCGCCGACTACGGTTCTCTTGACTCACGTCGCCCGCCGACTACAGTCTTTCCGACCTCTGTCGCCCGCCGACTACGGTCCTCCTGACTTACGTCGCCCGTCGACTACAATCTTTTCGACCTCCGTTGCCAGCCGACCACGGTCTTCCTGACTTACATCGCCCACCGACCTCCGTCGCCCGCCGACTACGATCCTCCCGACTAAACGAACATGTCAATAGTGATTCTTTGTATTAATATCATGTAATGTACTCTATAAAATGTACATCAAGCTAAGGCCTTCTCCCAAGGAAGGGCCTCATTTGTAATCAACTGCAATACTAGTGGATTCATTCAAACTGGGCTAGACCCCGTGGTTTTTCCCCCTTTTCAGGGGTTTTCCAAGTAAAAATCTTGGTGTCTCATAAATGCTAGACCCTCTCTCTTATCTGATTGCGTGCCGGATTTTCGTAAAACGCTAAGACGATAAACTTTATATTTCTCTACCGCCGCGAATACTTCTGGACGCAACAATAAAAATAATAATAATGAAATATAAAAGGCAAAACATTTAAAAAAAGTAATTGATAAATAAAGTGCATTTAATGACTTGACACTTGAGAGATATACTTCATTTTTTTATAAATACTCATGCTCCATAAGTTAGTTAGGCAGATCAGTATGCATATTATTATTTCTTTATTTTATGTTTGAGCTTTATAATAAAATTGTTTATCTCGCTTAGCGTTTAGCTCATCACATATTATAAATCTTTTTCATAAAAAGGAAAAAAGTAGATGGGACCATAGGCAGGTGATCCAGTTTGTCATGTGCTTTAATACCATGGATGAATGTACAATTTTGGATGTGAAAATAAAAAATGATGTAGATGATGAAAATTAAAGAATTTTTATATGCATAAATTTATATTTAAAATTATTTAAAAGCATCATATTTAGTTTGATGATTTTATTTATGGACACTTCTATATCAAAGCTTATGTTGAATCTATTAAAGGATCAGATATATTCTGTGATGATTTAGGCAAACTAATTTATTTATTTATTTGATCCTTATTTGAAAGAAAAGTCCAGAGAGGTATTGGAGGGAAATGTGTAAGACACTAAGACTAGATTGTTTGCCTCAGCTAGACCTCATAGTTGACTAGAGAGAGTCAAGGTGGGGCGTGACATATATAATGTAAAAGTTTTATAATTAAAATCTTCTAGAATTACATTTATCTCGCACTGACAAATTTGGTTTAAACCCTATTGACCCTTTCACTTGATATCCTACTTTCACCACTGGATATGCTCAAATAACACAACACGTTATTCTAGATACAAGAATTTCATTGCTCAAAGAAAGTTTTAGAAACATTGGCTGCAGTTAGTGTAGCAATTTACCAAATCATCCCAAATTTCATCCAGATGATGCCTAGACAATCATAATGGTTTAATGGCAGTTGACGGTTGCGAGGCAAAGGTTTTTTTCTTCACTTTTTTTCTAGCCATATCCAATATCAAACAAATTTAGATTTTAAATATAACTCGAGTTGTGTAAATGTTTCATATGGTTGCATGCAACAAGAACAACAAGAAGCCTTTATCCCACTATGTGGGGTATGCTATATGAATCTTTTTTCACCATTGTGTCCTGTTAAAAGTCAAATTCTCATCTAAATCTAATAAAGAAAGACAAATTCTAATATTTTCTAACAAATTTTTTATAGGTCTAGCTATAACTTTCTTAACATAAGTCAAATCTAATACATCCACTTTCCTAACAGGATCATCAAAAGGCCCCAGTTTTATGTGATCAAATCATCTAAGGAGTCTCTCTAATCTTATCTTCCACTGGAGTTACTCCAACCTTTTCACGTATATGCTCATTTCGTATCCCGTCTCTAAGAGTAAAGCCACTCGTCCACCTGAGCATCCTCATCTCTGCAACACTTACCTTAATATTATGCTTCACTTTTAATGGCCAACATTATGCTCCATAAAGCATTGCAGGTCTCACTAACATCTTTAAGTTTGAGAGGGACTTCTCTATCACATAGCAAGCCCGATGCATTCCTCCACTTCAACCATCCAACTTGAATTCTACTAATAATATCCCCATCTATTTCACCATCACTCTAAACAATAGACCCAAGATATAAAAATATATACTTTTATTAATGACTTGATCGTCCAAAGTCACAATTCCTCCACTAGATCTATTATTACTAAAGATGTATTTAGTTTTAGATATACTCAAATGAAAGCCTTTAGACTCTAAGGTTGAACTCCATAATTCAAGTTTACCTTCAAATCTCTGTCTAATCTTATCAACAAGAAGAATATCTTCAGCAAAAAGCATACACTAGGGTACAACCACTTGCAAATGTCTAGTGAGAACATCCATGACTTCAAAATTTGACACCACAAGGAAACATGGTATTAAGCTGGCAATTTAGATATCATTAAACCCAATGCTCCACACTGCAGTAAGATCTAGCTTTTCAAATATTTAACAATATAAGTAGCAATAAAAACATAATGCCAGGAAAATATTTGAATTAAAACTTTACGATGCTATCAAAAAAGAATTTATTCATTCAATGATAATAAAAACATATTTAACTTCCTTTTCCTTATTGATTTTGCACAATCATAATTCCAAGAAAGGTTTTGACTGCTAAAGTTATCTTAATGTTTCAGCCAATTTATGGTCATGCGTAAAACAAAAGAAATAATTCAACAAACATATTTAAAATGGTTAAGAACAACGGTATCCTTTTAACATAATAAGCATAGGTATCACGTGGTGCAAAATTAGAGTCGGATTTCAAATTGGGATGAGAGCCACAACTTCAGTATAATGTAGATTAGAGTAGAGATTTGATGTAAACAACTTTATCATGCTTGATAAAAACTTAATCATACCTTTATTTCAGCATCTGTATATGGTGTTGCCCTTAAACTACAGAAAGAATAGAGCGAATATTTGTAAGTAAACAAAATTATATTTAATAGATACCCTAGTATAACATAAACTTCGTCGTATTGAATCACAAAAATTTAACAAATAAAATGCCAAGATAATCATAAAACAACAAATTCAAAGAAATCCTAGATATTTGATAAGCAAACCACTTTATCAGAATAAATAAATTGCTGAGGCCATGGCACACAAACTAAGATTTAATCTTAAATAACTTACAAATGAGTCAGAGGCTCCCCAATTTATATTATGTTATAATCACAACCATCAATTTCTTTTCGTGCTGGCTTTAATCAGGTTCCATTAATAATTAAAACTAAAAAAATACGGCTACCTAAATAATTGTTTTTCTCTATTTAATATTGACTATCACTAACCTATTCCTCAGCCACTTTTTGAAGTTCCTGAATCCTTCTTCAGCACAATTTGATATAATACAGTTAAGTCAAAAGCCTCTTCTTCAAATGCTTTAAACAAAATTTTGAATTAAATAAATTTTAATTCCGACAGTTTAACTTCCTCTTCACAACACATTTTATATAGTTTCTATCCATATTACCATAGGTTCTCATGCCTAATTCTCCGACACTAATTTTATCTACCCGTCTATCCATATTACCATAGGTTCTCATGTCTATTTGCAATTACCTTATAAATGTCACTCCAACAATTCATCTCATTAAATCATTATTTAATTTATCCCTAATGGTTTCCCACATTTATCTTAGTATCCTTATTTGTGTTACACATAATTTAGCTATGAATGAAATTTTTACGGCCAATACTCGGATTCAATAGCATGGAAACCTCACTATAATTTTATAAAATTTGACTTTAAACCTCATGATATTTTTGCAAATAAAACTCCTAAAACACTACTCTATTTTAACCCCTGTTTTAACCATTGAAGTTATATCCTCACATATATTCACATTTTTTTTTAAATTGATGTCAAAATGCCTCTTTGGAAGTATTTGACATCCATTAGCCTTTAAAATTTTATTGGAAATATTTGTTAACCAAACAACTATAATATCATCCACAACTCTGCAAATCATAAAAATTATCTAACATAAATCAAAAGTTTTACTTTTACACATTCTCTTCAGAGCTAAACCACTTTACTTTATTGAATCTATTTACAACATACCTATTTATTTTGTTAAACATGTTAAACAACAACAACAATAATAAGCCTTTATCCCACTATGTGAGGTCAACTACTTGAATCCTTTTTCTCCATTGTGTCGTATTAAGAGTCAAATTCTTATCTAAATCTAATAAAGAAAAGTCATTTCTAATATTTTCAAACCAAGTCTTTTTAGGTCTACCTCTACCTTTCTTAACATAAGTCAAATCTAATATATCCACTTTCCTAACCGGGGCATGCATCGAAAGGCCGCCGTTTTATGTGACCAAACCATCTAAGGCAACTCTCTCTAATCTTATCTTCCACTGGAGCTACTCCAACTTTTTACGTATATGCTCATTTCGTATCCTGTCTCTAAGAGTAAAGCCAGCCATTCATCCACCTGAGCATTCCTCATCTTGCAACACTATAACTTAATATTATGCTTCTCTTTTAATGGACAACTTTCTGCTCCATAAAGCATTGCAAGTCTTACTACCATCTTATAGAATTTTCCAAATTTGAGAGGGATTTTCTTATCAACACAACAAGCCTGATGCATTCATCCACTTCAACCATCACAAACCCTAAATTCTACTAATAAAATTCCCCATCTATTTCACCATCATTCTGAACAATAGACATCAATATATCTAAAACATGTACCTCTTTTAATGACTTGATTCGCCAAAAGTCACAATCCCCCATTAGATTCTCTTATTACTAAAATCACTCTATATTATTCAGTTTTAGATCAACTCAAACGAAAGCCTTTAGACTCTAAGGTTGACCTCCATAATTAAAGTTTATCTTCAACTCCCTCTCTAGTCTTATCAACAAGAAGAATATCATCAACAAAAAACATACACTGGGTTACAACCTCTTGCAAACGTCTAGTGAGAACAACCATGACTAAAAGCAAAAAGATATGGGCTAAAGCTAATCCTTGATGTAATCCAAATGAAATTGGAAAATACTTGGTCAAACCACCTTGTGTTGAGCACAATTAACAGCTCGTGCATACATACCTTAATGACTTGAATATAAGCCTTATTAATCTCCTTTCTTTATGTAGAAGA